TCCGCCCGCCTCAGCAGCTCTTCTACCCCATCTTCCTCAGCACGGGCTAGCAGCTCCGCTATCTCGTCATCACTTCGCTCGAGCAATGCCCCCGCATCGTCTTCGGCACGGGCCAGTTCTGCATCCTCGTCTGCAGCTCGGTCAAGCAGCGTCCCAGCATCTTCTTCGATTCGCTCTGGCAGTAGCTCCGCCCCTTCTTCTTCTGCCCACCCCAGCAGCTCCTCCATTGTCTCCAGCAGCGCGACGCCCTCATCCTCGGCACGGGCAAGTAGCTCTATTGCTTCGTCATCAATTCGTTCGAGCAGCGCTGCACCATCGTCATCCATGCGCCTAAGCAGCTCCGTCCCTCGTTCGAGCAGCGCAGTGCCTTCCTCTTCAGCGCGTTCCAGCAATGCTGCCTCGTCTTCCGTTCCCAACTCTAGCAGTATAGCCATGTCCTCCAGTGCTGCTCGTTCCAGTCCTTCAGTTCCCGCGGGCTCTTCATCCGCGGCTCGTTCAAGAAGCGCAATGGCATCTTCCAGTGCCGCTCGCTCCAGTTCTCCTCCTTCGTCGGCTGGTCTCTCTTCCAGCAATGCTGCCGCATCTTCCAACGCTTTCCGGTCCAGCTCGTCCGTCCCCGCAGCATCTTCATCAGCGGCTCGTTCGAGCAGTGCCGCCGCCCCCTCCTCTGCACCCAACTCGAGCAGCGTTGTGACATCATCTAGCGCCGTCGCCCGCTCTAGCTCTTCAGCTCCGCGTGCCAGCTCTTCCATAGTAGTCGCCTCATCCAGCGCACCTCGCTCTAGTTCTTCAATACCCGCAGCTTCCTCTAGTGCACCGCGTGCCAGCTCTTCCGCACCAGCCGCCCCAAGCAGTGCCGCTCCCGCTGCCTCATCCAGCGCGCCTCGTGCTAATTCTTCTGGCCCGGCCGCATCGGTATCGTCGTCTGCTCGTCCCGCTTTTGCACCTTTTGCAGCACCCGCACCGGCGCGTTCAAGTACGGTCAGCTCTAACACCGGCAACTCGCCGTCAGCTTCAGCTCCTGCCTCGTCGACTGCCACCAGCACGACATCGGCTCAGACTTCATCCACAACTGCTGTGACGTCGACACTTACAACATCGTCGACGCCCACTACTTCGTTGGAAGCGGAGCCTACTACTTCGTCAACCACGGAGTCTCGCACTTCCACTACTACGTTGACTACCGAGACACTTTCATCCACCGAGGCGACGACGACAGCCCGCACGTCAACGACTTCGTTCACCACCGAGGCGATGACGACCTCATCGACGACTGAGGAAACCACTACGCGCACGTCGACAACGGAGCCGACCACTGCTCAGACGCCTGAGCAAACGGAGCCTACCACTACTCACACGTCCACGGTGGAGACGATTATTACCACTAATGACATTCCCACCGCTACGTCGACCACTACCACGACTCCGATGACGACGGATACGCCCACCACGACTACTACCTCTACGTCCTCCACGACCACCACCGTCGAGACCACAACCATCGTCATCAACAATAACAATAACGACAATAATTCCAACAACTCTAACAACAACAACAATTCGGGTGGTAGTAACAACTCGTACAACACCCATAATGCGGACACTGGTTCCATCTCGGTCTCCAACCCGGGTGGTGGAGACAACAATAACAACTCGGTCAATAACAACAACTCGAATAATAACAACAATTCGGACGGTGGTTCCAGCTCCAACAACGATACTAAGTCGGGGAGCGGCTCCAGTTCCGATTCCAGCTCCAACGCCAATAACAATTCTGGCGGCGTCAGTGGAAGTGGAGACGGTAAAAACAACTCGGATGGCGGAAGCGGTGGGGATGCAGTAGCAGCTGCGCAGCCTTCAGCCGAGGGGAAGTTGGCTGTTGAACCTCGCGCGACTGCGGTGAATGTCAGTCGTGTACGAATTCACCCGAGGCAGATGAGACTCCTCACTGTTGCTGTGGCCGCCTGAGATGATCTCCTTGTTATGTGATATTTGTTTTGTTTCTTGCTTTCAGCTTCGCTACTTACATGCTCTATATCAATTGCTATTCCCTATATTACAACTGTTACTTAAACACCCGCAATAAACCATATGATTTCATGCATTTATGATCTCGTTTTGAACGCTTTTAATCCCTGTCTTCACATTGGTCCTTAAGTTCGAGTCGGCTCCATCTTTGGATCTCTGTTGGAAGAAGCTTGAGTTGCTTCTCTCCTTGAATCGACTCTCCAGGCCTTGCACTAGCACTGGGATTGATTGGGTAAAATCTAAGGAAAATAGCTCGTTCTGAGCAGTGTTTTGCGCAAGCAGGCCATATATATAGCATCACAGTCCAGCTCACGCATGGAAAAAAATTGACAGCAGGGTTTCAACGAGGAGTTAGCCCACCGATAGAGTTGCAGCCATATCAGATTTGAGGGTTGAAGATAACTCACCTCTCGCAAGCTGGAATTCTACTCGACAGAGGGGGTGATGATAATTCCGAGAGAGAGATGCTACAACGTTGGTGCTTTTGTTCATACAGCATACATACAACAATCATGTCTTTTCGTCTCAACTTACTAAGTAAGTTACTTATACTTACAACGACATTCACCACCGAAGGGAGCCTTCAACCCGAGCACGCAGCGTCCCCTACTTCTGGGCAAGATGCGCACCAACATTCGCGCGGAACTTGATGGCCTCGCTAGCGGACCTGACCTGGAGCGGTTTGACCGTCGGGTGGCCAACGGCCTTGGCGATGCGATCCGAGAGCGATTGGTCGACGGCGGCCCACACCGAGACTGAGGGGAGTATCGGTCAGAGAAAATACGAGGAAGAAAAGTGTGAAAAGACGACGTACGTTGACGAGCCTTGACCTCGTCGCTCTTGACACCGCCGAAGTGGCCGGCGACGTTCTGCACGTAGGCCTCCCGCTGCTGGTCGTTCCAGACCTTGGTCCACATCGCGCGGGGCTGCTCAAAGTCGACTGTCGTCGGGTTCTCGTTAGATATCTATATCAATGATAATTAAAGAAAAAGGCAGACGTACGCTCAGTGATGAAGCTGAGGTCGCGGAACGCCGCGCCCACAAACGTCTCGTGCTTCGCCTGGCGCTCGTAGTCGTTCGCGCCGCCCTCAATCGTGCCGGGGGCGCCCTTATACTGCAGCGGCGCAATCGAGCTCTGGTAGTTCGGACGCGCACCCTGCGAGACGAACGTCTGCGGGCCGTCGCGCTGGAAGTTCGCTACCGGGACGATCGGGGCGTTGACGGGCAGCTGCTGGTAGTTGGTGCCCAGACGGTGGCGGTGGGTGTCCGGGTACGAGAACAGCCGCGACTGCAGCACGGGGTCGGCGGACGCCTCAATGTAGGGCACGAGATGCGACGGGGAAAAGGCGGCCTGCTCGATCTCGGCGAAGTAGTTCTGCGGGTTCTCGTCGAGGACGAGTTTGCCTACGGGGCGGAGGGGGAATTCGGCGTGGGGCCAGACTTTGGTGAGGTCGAGGATGTTGTAGCGGAATTGCTCGGCCTGGGCGGGGGTCATGGTTTGGACGTAGACGTCCCAGGTGGGGAATTTGCCGGCCTCAATGGTGTTGAAGAGGTTCTCGGTGCCGTAGTCGGGGTTGGAGCCGGCCAGCTTACCTGCCTCTTCATTGTTGAGGGTCTTGAAGCCGCCCTGGACGCGGAGGTGGAGTTGGGTGTAGACGAAGGAGCCGTCTTTCTTGAACCACTTGAAGGTGTGGCCGGAATAGCCGTGCATCTGGTGGAAGCCATCGGGGGTACCGCGGTCGCTGAAAAGAATCATGATCTGGTGGATAGATTCTGGGTTCTGGCCTAGGTAGTCCTGGATTTTGAGATCGAAGGGTCAGTAGACGGATCTTGGGAAAGCGGGATGTGGATACTGACCCAGAACATGGTGGGATCTTTGAGATGGGTCTGAGGATCGCGTTTCTGGGTGTGGATGAAGTGGGGGAACTTTGCGGCATCGCGGATGAAGAAGACGGGGGTGTTGTTGAACACCCAGTCCCAGTTGCCCTCCTCGGTTCTCAGCTTGATGGCGAAACCACGGGGGTCGCGAGCAGTGTCGGCAGAACCGGATTCACCACCGACAGTGGAGAAACGGACGGTAGCCTTTACTTTCTTGCCCTTGCTAGCGAGGAGGGGGTTATCGGTGAGGTCGGTGAGGTCCTCAGTGACCTGGAAGTAACCGTGGGCACCTGCACCCTTGGCATGGACCTGGGAGAGATTAAGGACGCAATCAGGACTGGGAAACCAGTTAGGCGTACCACACGCTCCGGAATTCTCTCGCCTGAGAAAGAAAGCGATAAGGATGAGAAGAGATGGGAAATCGAAGGTGAAACTAACGGTCAAAGTGCGCTAGACTGTCGATGAGGTGAAAGTCTTGCAGCAAGAGTGGGCCAAGCAGCCCTACGCGCTGAGAGGCATAGGGCTCAGAGACGGCGGCACCGTTTGAGGTGGTGTAGTGCTGGGACTCGGCGCCGGAGTTGAAGACTTGTTGGGAGGGCATGGTGGAAGTAGAGAAAGAAGGATTTGAGAGCTGGAGCTTATATAGAGGACTAATTACCCCACATCACGCTATCCAATCCTTTCAAAATGAAGGCTTGTGATTGGCTGGACACGGATCCTGCTATTTCAAGCTCCCGTTCCCGAAAAGAGTCAGTTGACGCCCAGATTTTCGTCATCCCTTCCATTCCTTTCCGAATCCTAGTTGACCCCGTTGATCGTGAGTCCACTCAACAGTCCTTTCCCGAGTTCTTCCTCAAAGACTCGTGTGGTGACTATGGGTGGACCGGAGTGCGTGCAAAATAGTCCCAGAGTTCCAAGGAAAGCCGAGCATAACCGGAGCCGCGACGAGAGAGGTCTCATGCTGAGAAGGTCAGAACATCGATCGTGCACGGAATCGCATGAAAAAATACCCGTGTGGAGGGGTATCGAGCTCAAGATAGAAAGTGGATCTATAGCATTCAGGATATGTGCGTTACTGGGGAAACCCTAACACATCTCGACTAGTATATCGGTTGAGTACACGCGCCTGTCATGGTCCTGGGAGTTGAACCCACCAGACGTCGCGCGAAAGCTGGGTTCGACTCCCAGGTCGAGAGTTTCCTTTTGTGAGTTCCAACTTTTTTAAGATCGGCATAGCCAGAAGGAACGCTCCAGCGAGCAACATGTGTACCAGTTCTCTTTTATCGATCCACTCTAAGTTATATTTATTTTATTAGATCAGCTCTAACTAGACCAACACATTGACCACAGAACCCTGAACATGAGTCTGGGATGCATTGCGTCAATCGGAGTTCCTAGCCCAGCCAGCATGGTATACAAGACCCATGCTGCGAGTTCATTCTAGCCAACGCAGTCAATCATGTGAAAACAAATACCTTCTGCACTTACCTTGGGTGCAAGAGCCTGCATATGGTTCCCGTATCGGCGCCAAAACGCTCCAGATGACAAGGTCTCGCCCATTATGGGTTCCGTTGTCGGTAGTCCATAGTCTGCATAACATGGAGCGGGTTCAGCACCATGCCGAAAGACCAGTCGCAAGACAACATACCCGCCAATCGCGTACTCTGCCACATCCAGTCCGTTTTACCATGTGCTTCCGCGAAAGATTTCACTGAAAAATCAGGCGGGAGGGTGTCTTTGACTCCGCTTGATAGAGCCGAATGTAACATTTTGTGAAGACTGAGGACGCAGCGCAGCGCTTTCGCGGTGCCTTCGCTACGACAAATGAATATAGGTGTCGAAACAGCGATAAACCACTCCAATTCTTACCCATAAACCGGGTTCACTGGCACATCATCAGTATTTGTTCACGCAGGGAGGGAATAGAAAGCATACCCGTGATAACGCTATCACCCAAAGCGACGAAATTAGAGGGCAGATTCACCGCCCGGTGATACTGGATGTTTGTAGTAGGAGCTAGAAGTAATAAAAGGAGCCGGTTTGTCCCGTACGAGATATACGGCGACCCAACTACTCACGGATTTTGAGGGCAGACACGGAACCTTCATCTTGAATATCTTCCAGCATATCTAAAATCCCGAAAATCCACTCCGGAATCGGCTCCTTTGGCTTGAAACTCCGGACATAGTCCTTCATCTCGGTGATATTCGTAGGCTGAGACCGAACAGAGCCGTAGTGACCCGTAAAGGCACAGACTTTGAACGAACGAAATTCCAATCAGACCAAATGATAAAAAAACAGCAGGGAAGAGAAAATGAAGTGTCAGAAAACACACTCACGATGCCCCCCATCTCCCCTGACCAACACAAACATCCCCTTTCCCACCTTGAGGCTCTCCTCACTCCCATCATCAATATAGGTGCATATTTTTTTCAAGTTCTTCAGATGCGACGGCAAGGGCAAACTGTCGTGGAATTCAGGGCGGAGGCGGAAGAGGATGCTGGTGTAGCGCAGTTTCTGGTCGAGGCTGATTTTTAGTTGGTCTAGAGGTAGAGTACCGTGAGGGTATTTTTGAGAACCAGAAGAGGGCGCCGAGTTGAGGTAGCCGTATCCATGTCGTTGGAGCCATTTGAGTCCTACACGGGCAGGACCGGTGCAGTCTATGAAAAGTGTAATCGGCTGGTGAATATCTGAGCAACGAAAACAGAGATTGATATTACCTGCTACAAGAGCCGCCTCAAACTCTTGTATCCCCGATACCGTCCTGACGACCACTGTGCTTAAGCGTGAATGGTCTGTAGGGCTAGGCAAGACGTCCGTAACAGTGCCCGTAATGTACTCAATGTTCGGGTGCGCTGTTTTGTCGAGAACGAGGCGTCTAATCACAGTCCTCGTGAGTTCTGGTTAACACATAGTAAGGTGGAACGGCCAACCTAATCAAAGTTTCTGTGTAACTTTTAGCATTCATTTCTTTTACCGCGTCGGTTGGAAAAGTCTCACCGGTGCCCATGCGGCTCGCAAACATCGCTAAAGGGAACCCCGACTCGCGATATGGGCTGGGCATGGGGATGGGCACGCCCGAAACGACGAAGGCAGGATCGGCCGGCATGATTCTAAGTATCAAGGGTTAAGAATGAAGGAACGCGGCGGAGGCAAAATACGAACGAAATTTCCGACCGCCGACATTCTTCCTCGAGATCAGGGAACATGTATTTCATAGCCCTGTATACAAAGGCTTGCGACACTAGAATAATAATTGGTAGTCATTCAATGTCTTGCGAACTTGAAAGAAATGTGAGGGGAGCGCACTATGTAGAGAAGTGAACTGCATGACTCGGGAGCGTTGGTGAGTCTGCTTCCATCCGTCTACTCGACGGCCCTCCTCCGAAGCGACCCAGGGTTCAGCTTCGACGATGAGAACACGTTCAAAGTGATCATGGCAGACCCGTGCAGCGAATAGTCCCGCGATACTGTTGGTTCGAACTTCATTTTGTTGTTGGAGTAGCGTATAGTTGAGCTACCAACCTTCCGCCACAAATGACAGCAGTGCCTGGGATCTTTTGCGCCGAACTCCGACTTCTTGCGAGTAGGGGTAGCTCGAGAACGCCGGAAGTCTTGCTGAGGAGATGACGGCGGAGAAGGTGCCATCCGATCAGGAGCAAAAGATATACGCCAATCGGGATGGCGAGAAGAACACTGAGCCAGTAGAGCATGAAGAAAAAGAGGTCAAACACAACATCCCGGTGTGCGTCCAACCCGTTTATAAGGCCGCGAAACAGTTCGTAAATTACAGCAAATGTCGTTGTCTCCGGTGAGGATCCCCCGTCTAGAGCTGAGGTATGTAGGTCGGTAGTTCGGTAGGTAGCATGAGAAACATTTTCATGCTTGGCGGTCAATCGTCAGGTTGCATCTGTCAGCCAATGTCGGGGTGAGGCAGCGTTGAGGTGTAAGGCGTTGTAGTGTGGCGAAGCGTCTAGGTGACGCTCGTTTTCGGGCCCGGGGCTCTAACCCGTCCATTCCATCCATTTCCGGCCAAAAAACGCGAAAGCCGACACCCTGCCGTCCGTACCCGTCCGTCCACTGCACTGACCCACCCCATCGACGCCCAGACTGTCCATAACTTGAGAACGGCTCTTAGAAATTAGAATTTTCTTCTCATGTGCGTGGCGGAAAATCTGAGTAAGTAGTGAGGTTATGTGGCTGGAAGGAAGGAAATTCGTCTTCAGCCTCCTCGGACGCGATGTCGGAGAGTTCAGATCTTACGTGCCAATGCCAGCGAAAGGTTTGTAAGGCGTGACTTTTGCCAAATGCATCATGTGAGGTGACTGCTCGCGTCCGCGACAACTTGAAAGGAGCACAGGCCTGAGGCCAGGCACGGTCTAGCCAAGCTCTAACTAGTAGCTTTGACCAGAGACGGTTGCTGTGCGGCCGAAGCTTCAAATATCCCGGCGGATTTCGACTCCCAGGTCGAGAGTAATCCATAATTGCCTTCTTTTTTCCAAATAGGAACCCGAGCTCTCATTTTGTGGCGAGTTGGTATGTTCTGGCGATAAAGAAAATGCCTAGATTATGGGTTTTACGCCGGAGGTTCCCCCGACTGCAGACAAGTTCTATTTTATTAATTAACTCTAACTAGACCAACACATCGACCACAGTACCCTTAAAATAAGCCTGGGGTGGAGGGCATCAATCGGAGTACCCAGCCCAGCGATGATAGTATACAAAACCCATGCTGCGAGCTCGTTCTAGTTAACACAGTCAATTTCTTGTCAAATCAAGAGAAATGCCTTCTGCACTGACCTTAGGCGCAAGACTCTGCATATGGTTCCCGTATCGACGCAAAAACGCACCAGAGGACAAGCTCTCGCCCGCTATTGGTTCCGTCGTCGGTAGTCCGTAATCTACATACTTCAGCATCAAGACCAAATCGCAAGAGTAACAACATACCCGTCAACCGCGTATTCTGCCAAATCCAGTCCGTTTTATTGCACGCTTCCGCAAAGAAATTCACTGAAAAATCTGGCTGGAGGGTGTCTTTAGATCCGCTTGAGAGAGCCGAATGTAATGTTTTGTGAAGACTGAGAGCACATCGCAGCGCTTTAGCGGCGCCTTCGCTGCAACAAGTTATCAGGTGGCGAGACAGCGACGACCACTTCGAGTCTTACCCAAATACCGGGTTCACTGGCACATTATCAATATTTGATCGGGTGGGCAGAAGAAAACATACCCGTGATAACACTATCGCCCAAAGCGACGAAATTAGAGGGCAGATTCACCGCGCGGTGATACTGGACGTATGTCGTAGGAGCTGGGAGTCAAGAAAAAAAGTAACCGGTTTGTCCCGACGAAGATATACGGCGACCATAGAACTCACGGATTTTGAGGGCCGACACGGACCCTTCATCTTGAATATCCTCCAACATATCTAGAATCCCGAAGATCCAGTCCGGAATCGGCTTCTTTGGCTTGAAGCTGCGAACGTACGCCTTCATCTCGGTGATATTCGTGGGCTGCGATCGAGTGGAGCCGTAGTGACCCGTGAAGGCACAGACTTCCAACGGACAAGCATTTCAGTGAGACCGGAAGAGAAAAAGTAATAGGAAACAACATCAGAAGAACACACTCACAATGCCCCCCATCCGCCCTCACCAACACGAACATCCCCTTCCCCGCCTTAATGCTCTCCTCACTCCCATCATCCATGTACGTGCATATCTGTTTCACGTTCTTCAGGTGCGGCGGGAAGGGCAAACGGTCGTGGAATTCGGGGCGCAGGCGGAAGATGATGCTGGTGTAGCGCAGTTTCTGGTCGAGACTGATTTTTAATTGGTCTAGAGGTAGGGTACCGTTGGTGTAGTTTTGAGGATTTGAAGAGGGCGCGGAGTCGGGGAGGTAGCCGTATCCGTGTCGTTGGAGCCATTTGAGACCTACACGGGCGGTAGTCTCGTGACCAGCCTCTCACGACATCCCAAACTGGGAACCCTGTCGTGAGAGTCTGGAACTATCATCGGCCAGGTAACCGTACCCTTGCTCTATCACTTTTGATCTATTTTTCACACGCTAACAGGCCTCTTTCCGACTCTTCCGTGGCTCTTCGGACTTTTTCGGAGCCCTTCGGAAACCCTTCCCGCACATCCGGCGGAGGGTTCCCACGCTTTGCCTCACCTCTCGGGCGTGTTTCTCGCATGTTTGCGAC